CCACACGACCCAGCGCCAAAGCTCATGAATCTCGAGTGTCTCCCAGTCTTGTGTCGATCGGTGCGTTGGTGTTGTTCGAGGTGAAGATCAAGAAAAATGGCGCCCAGACCAAGTTCAAGATCAGGTACTGAAGGGAGATTGGGAAACACCTGAACACACGCAACAAGTGGTAAAGGGTAGAATAGAGTCGCTCCTGATTTGGAGTATCCACCCAAGTGGGAAGTATGCAGCCAAGCGAAGCAGCAGTATCACCGAGTGTGATTATGTTGTTTCAATTTGTTTCATATTTGTTGTCCTTGCTTATTGTATTTTATTGTTGTATTTAATTGTAATTACATTTATAATCATTTATATATAAATATCTAGTAATATATATATATATAACTCCTTGCTTTGGCAAGGCCAGGCCTTGGTTCGCTTGGAGGGTAACGGAGTAAGGACATGTGAATTTGTCAACAGTGGAAACAGCAAGGACTGAAGGTGTCAGTCATTGCATGACTTCGGTCATTGTTCAATGAGATCACTCATGACAGGCAAACGGGCAGCAATCACGCCCTGGAATCCCCCTTTTAGCAGGATGCTGTCCCACCAACCAACACATCAACCAGCCAGCACACCGACCAACCTTTGCAGACCCTACAAGCCGGCAAGACTCACGAAATTGGTCTTCGCATGCCACGCAGGTGCAGCAAGTATCTGTACACCCTGATCATGACTGACAAGACCAAGGCAAGTGGAGGTTGGAAGGTTGGTGAGTGTTCAGTGTTCCTGGCTGTCATTGAGGCTAACCAGACTTCCTTGTCCAGAAGCGATAATGATGTGAGCAGATCTATCAAAACGCGTAAATGCAGTTTAAATGTACGGTTTTTGATCTTTTGAACATGAGGAGGAGACTACCAATAACGACAACTATGGTTACAAGCAGGGTTGTAGAGTTATAGAGGCTTACAATTCTGGCAAAACCATAGGGCATTGCTTAGTTACAAATTCCGATGACAACGCTCCCACAAGAAAACTCCCTTGGTGAAGCATATCAAGAAGGTACCGTGAGTAGAGAGGCATGTGGGTGCATCCCAAAGTTCACATCCCTTGCGACCCAGGGTGACCCAGGGTCACCTTGGGTCCATGTGTTCCCCAAAACGTCAATGTGACCCAGGAATATGCGTACATGTCCTTTCCAATGCCATCACATCCATTTTGTCGATCAGAACGGTGTCCTTCGTTGGTCGTTAATGAACCACACATTGGAAACATCATATTGGTATTGGGATGTCTTGGGTATGGAGGTCCAGTCCAGATTGCCAGCTACAAGTTTTAGTGCTCAGGAATTCGCATATATAATAAATGAAACCGTTGTTGTCTATAACACTTGCTAGCTTGCAAATGGTAGAAGAGGGCTCAAAGCCGGGAGGCAGCGAAATGGCTACACTCCACGTCCAAGTGGCAGATTTCTGTCCACGTCTCCAACTCGTTCAGAACGCTGAACTTGCAGGGACCTCCTGGGTCATGGGTTTTCTTCGATCACCCTCTTGACTCGCCAAGTGCTACTGACGATGCTAGGCCGACAAGCTGAAGCAATCCTTGCCGCCAGGGGCTCGGATCGGTTCCGAGCCCGGAGGATCAGGTCACTCCAAAAAGCTCCTAGTAGCGTCCTTGCTCCTAAGGCCAGGAGCCCCTAGTAGCGATGCCCTTTGCTCCTAGTGGCGTCCTCTACCCCCCAAACAAAAGAACTATATTTTTGTTTGTAGTCCGATGCAGCAAGGTTGGATGTCAAGGATCCTGGTTGACAATGTGGAACCCAACTTTACTGCAAAGAAGTCAGGAACCACTTGTCTTTGTGTTTCTGATGGTTTCCGGATCCTCTTCTTTTCCGGATAGGCCCTCCCTGCAGAAGAAGGAGATCTGAGTCGAGGCAACGGTGACGATGCCTACGCCGCTACGGTACAGGTGCCAAAAAGGGGTCGTTTCCCCTGATCGACTCGTGCAACAAAGGCGGCCACGGCAAGAACACGGCTTTTCAGGCTCACTGAACTACACCCAAATACATCCAAATACTACAGACATGTCCGTTCCTTTTGTGTCATACCTATAAGTTTCATGGTAGGGTCTAGGCTTAGCTGAGTCTTCCCTCACCCATCCTCACCCCTTATAATAAGCATACTTAGATATGGTCGAACACACATACACAATCGTACACACGTACAGATGCGGTGGGAACGTTACACTCAGTGGAGAGTGGAGGGGAGAATTATATAAAGTGGACAATTATTACATTGACTCGACACAGAAATTGGCTCCTTTTCATTCCTTTTCTAGCTCTTGCTCAGGAGGGGACGTCTGAGAATCCGGGGGAAGTATTTCCCCTTAAACAGGGAGCCGGAACTCTCCAACCTCTTGCTAGTTCTGTGCATCAATTTCTCCAAGCCTTTCGGCCCAAGACGCTCCAAACGCCCACGTCTCCGTCACGCGGGGGACCTCGGTGGACCGTCTACCGCAAGGGTCACAAAATCATAACACCCCCCCCTCCAACACCCCCCCCCTTCAACATAACCTTGAAACAACCCTGAAATAAAAAATAACACTGAAATAACACTGAAATAACATTGAAATAGTCTTGAAATAGAAATAACCTGGAAATAACCCTGAAATAGTGCAAAAAATGCGTTTTCAGAAAGAATTATGTACAGACATGTGAAGACATGTCTTTGACTTTTGGTGGCAAAACCATCCTGAATCTTGGTTCAACCTTTGCTGATATGTGCCACCCGCGCGCTTCCAAAAAACAGGGGTTGAGGATGACAGAGTTGGACAAAAACAGGAAGAATCATGGATGATGTTAGACATGTTTGGACAAAGTTAGAGCAGGACAGACCATGGGAGAGAGAAGCACAGGAAAGAAGTAGAGAATACTGATTAACCAAATAAAGAAAACATGGAGTTGAGTTATTCCCAAAGCCGTGCCGCGGACGGCTTCGCCGGCTAACATGGACATGGAGGTTGGCCATGTTGTCGCGGCCCTTAGGGGACTACGACCGGTACTATATAGTCAAGTAGTCGAGTAGTGAAAGTGATCATCTACAAGCTTGGTGTTGGCAAGTTTGCCTTTGACAGAGTTTTGTTGCTTCTCAGATCTTTGGTTTTGTGGTTCAGCTGTTCAGCCCGACAAGTGATTGGGCGCCGTGGGCCAGTGTTCTTCGGCCCGCCACTTGACTCACTCAACCGAGATCCACAGGACTGGCCTGACCTCAATGACACGGTACACCGTGATTGCCGCCACCTTTTTGGAAACCTTCCCACCGAAACGGCTTGATGTGTACTAGACGAGGGAGTTATGCAATTATACAATATATACAGACAGAGGGGGTTTTGACATGTTTTGGCGCATGCATAATGACCCTTCAATTATATCATTCCTTTGGATTCGGTGAATGTTTCCTTGGCATGAGGCCTTTGGCATCCTTGAACCCACGACGCAATGAGTCCTCAGCCGGGCGCTGAGCGGGTATTGTGAGCAGGTATTGCCTTTGGCATCCTTTGGAAAATCTTAATGTCAAAGGAAAATCGTTGCACACCCTTCTGAGGGCAACTGCCTTTCGGAGGGATTTCACCACCTGATGCCATCATGAATGGATGGCCCAATCCACTGGCTTTAGGGGTAGAAAGGGTCTTCCGATGAGAGTAGTTCAATGCCCAAGGGAATTTCCAGACATATTGATGATCTGCGACGTGTCCAGGGAGGTTCAGGTTTGACCAGTTTCAGTGTTTGTTGTTGCACCCACGGTATTGTGTTGGATTTGGAGAGCCAGCAGAACAGTTCGTAGAGGGTCATGAGATCGTTCGCGCAGGGTGGCCCCCCCACTATGTGCAAAAGCATACGTAGATGATGGCTACTATGATGACTTAAACATGTTTGGATAAACTCGCGGATATGTTGCTACCCTCAAGGACCTTGAGGTTCGGTGTGGCGTCCACTTTGGAAGAGTTTCCCTCCTGGAGAGGGATGGTGTTTTGTACAAGCATGAGAAAGAGTCAAGCATCGACTCTGGAGTCTGTACAAGCACGCGATTGACGACTCCAATGGCCGTAGGTCGACAGGAGGATTCCTGTTTGACGGTGGGTCCCTGTTCAGCCACGAGTCCGTCCCCACCATTCAACTCTAAGAGGTTCCAAACAGATTTCCCATCCCTGAAGGAATCTCCAAAATATTCCAAAATGAACATACTCACCACTATTTAAACCAGTTGAGCGAGAATCCCCCAACTCTATCAGCGCCCATAGCTTTCTTTGCAGCCATTGCGGACAGAAACTAATAGAAACTACAGTCAACGAAAGACACGCAGAACGCCACATCAGATATACAATGATATACATCACACAGTTTGGGCTTAGCATCAGGGTTTCTTCCACAGTAGGGAGCCAGGCCGCCCCTTGGTTTTTAGCGATACCACATAGGTCATATATAAGTTAAGCCCTTATAAGCCCTTAATATAAACATTAACTGGGCCCTCAGATGTTGCTCCTTCAACCCACAGGCTGTTCTGAACGACCAAACAAAACAAAGGCAGCTGAACTTCGCTGAACCGAACTCATCGGTGCGCTGCCGAGCCCATGGCGTTTCGTCGACTCCGACGATGCCTGGCCACCGTCTCCGTCTCCATGGCCGTTTGGGGGTGCCACGGATGTCTTGGTCGTTGAGTGGAGCACGGTGAACACAAACGAAGGATGCACCAAGTCCGTTTCTGAAAAGTTCCTTCTAGTGAGGTCTGTGTGTTTCTGGGAGTAAATGTTCGGTTGGGCCACGCATGAGGCCCTGCTGAAAGATACTGTATGTATGGGCCAAAATGCTTGACCAAAGCATAGACTAGAGGATTTCTCGGACCGTTGAGGACCATCTCTTTTTGTTTTGACCATGACAGGACACCTTGATCAGCTTGAGTTAGCTTCGGATCGTCCAAACCAACAGTACAGGCCGTCGAGAAGATCCTAAATGACTTGTCCATCGTGTCATCGTATGTCCTGTTTTGGTTGGTGGTTCCAAAATGGTTGGACAATCGCTACAGAACCCACCAGCAGCAGTAAAACTTATTGCAATTGCTGTACCAGGGGCCTAGTGCTCCGGGTTTTCTTGCAAACTCCCTTTGGCTTGGGGGGGCAGGGGGGTGTTCCTTTGCGGTGAATTCCTCCTAAGATAAGATGTATTGTGTTCCTCCTATGCCTCTCACCGACAAGCATGAGCAGAATCCACTGAAGGGTGGGTTGCCCATTTGGCGAGGCGCGCCTTCGGTGGAGCGAGCATGCGCCCTCATGCAGGCCAAGCTGGAGCTGGCTGGAGTGAGTTGGCATACTGATGCATATACCGTATATAATGGTGGAATGTTTGAAAGCATGCATTTGCATATTAAACTAAAATATTTGAGGCCGCGGCCTCAGAAAAAAGGAATCACATATGACATATACTGCAGTTAAGGTTGCATATACGCAACACATGTAAGGCATCTGCAGGATACCATTTGCTTCGGGCTTAAGGAGGGGCTTTTGCCAGCGAGGCGCGGCTTCGGGAGATTCACATCGGTTATTCGCGAATGCCCTTGCTCCTAGTAGCGTCCTTGCTCCTAGTAGTAAGGCCAGGAGCCCGTAGTAGCGTCCTTGCTCCTAGTAGCGATGCCCTTGTTCCTAGTAGCTTCTTGTTTGCTATTCCAGATATGTCCAGAGAATCCTTCAATGAGCATGACCAGGCCTTGGCGCCGCCGTGCCCACGATCGGCGCGATCGGCACACCGCGGATTCTCGCACGCTGGGCTGCTGCCCAAGGAGAGTTAGCGTGAAGGGATTATATATATATGGAGACTCGCCTGGTAATATGAAAAGTAAGGAATTGTTTGCATCACTGGTTGGACCAGTTAGACCCACTGATTTTAGGATTCTTATCTTGACCCGGTCCAAGTCAATGAGTCAATGTTCCCTTTCGGTCGCCTTCCGTGAGTCGACCTGAGGAGTCTTGGAGGACGTGACTCGTGAGCTCCGGCGCTACCTGGACGAGCGCGGTGTGCGGCACCAGGCTCAAGTTGCAACGAACGCGTTTCACAATGGAGACTTAATATACCTGAGAGATCCTGAGAGGGTGAAACCATGGTTTTGAAATGGTTTGTGAGTTTGCAACCTAGTAAGCATAAGATTTCTGTTTGTTCCCTTCTTGAGCATGGAGATGCAATTCATTTGACCTGCGGACAGGCGAACAGGATCATTTCAACATGGGATGGTCAAACATGAGGACGGATTTCTAACGAGGTGGATCCAGGGGAAGCAGGATCCGACATGCTTTGACCATCCCTCGTGTAATAATAATATATAATCCCCCGTGATTGTGGGCTTATAAAATGCAGATCCTTTTCCTTTACAAAATGCAAATTCCAAGACACATTTTATAAACATTAGGTTTTTCTATGTTTTTAAGGATAACTACATAAGATCTGGAGTATCGTCATTTTATAAACTTTACTAACTTGGACACTGAATGACAGTAATAGAGGGCAGGTGAACCCCGTAATCTCATTTTATAAACATTCACTTGTCGAGTTGTCAGAGGATGGTCAGAACATGATTTCTCATTTTATAAAGATCATGTTCTGGACTGTCTAAAAAAGGTATTGATTTTTCATATGTTTCTAAGAAACCTAAATTTTCAGAAATGCCCTCAAAACTCTTCAAACCGCAAGGAAAGACAGGGGTAGAGCCCGAAACATCCAACATCCAACACCTCAAACGATCCGAAACGGTTCCAGGTCCGTACGCCGCTCTTCCCCCTTATCTCGGTGCCAAACAGCACCGTGAAACACCCCGTGTTCTTTAGACCTTTCTTTCGACCTTTAGACCGGTCTCCCCCCGTGACCGGTCCGAAGCCTCTCGTTACCCCCCCCCGTAAAGGGAAGAGACACAGAGACAGGGAGAGAGAAGAAAAAGTGTAGAAAAAGTAGCTAGCTAATTTTTAATTCTTAGTTATTTTCCTGGTCATATTCCTTCAGTTCCTGTCTTTCCTTGAGGTTTGAAGAGTTTTGAACAGTGGGTTCAAATTTAGTTGTTGATTATTGAAAATATAAATTTTCAGAATCTGAAAATTCAGAATCTGAATCATTACTAAATAATAACTATTTCAGAATCTTGAGATCTTGACATGACGAATTTTCATTTTATAAAGTATCCGAATTTGGCTTCTTACGGACATTTCCGATGAGCAATTCGCCTTTTATAAAGTGTTTCTTCCTGGATGTCGATTTCTATCTTAACCTATCACAACCTGTGCTGGTCATTTTATGAACTAGTTGTTTTTCATTTTATAAACAAAAAACCTATCATCCCACACATTTTATAAACCCACAAAGTTTATAAAATGCAAAATCAGCGCGCCTATGAACAATCACGGGGGATAATATATATATATATATCGTATAATATAGTGTATGTCAGTGTCAAAAAATGCCAATTACACAATGGAAACATCGGGGAAACAAGTACTTGAGGATGCTCAACTCCGCTGCTCGGTGATGCCTCTCGCTGCCAGGATTGCTTCGAGAAGCAAGAGTTGCTGGAGCGTGTCCAGGAGCACATGGCACAGGAGAGCCAAGCTGGCCGTTCTACACGGAGTGAAGCGGCGGCTGCGCGGTCGGCGCTTTGGATGCTTTGGGTCGGTGCTTTGGGTGCTTTGCCCTTGTTTGATCTTTGTGTGCTCTACAAGTGCCCTGGAGAAATGATAACTGCTAGAGCTTCCATAGAAAATCATAGAGGGTTGCTGACATCGGAAGACACTTAGAGGAATGTATATACATAATTCGTAGATAAGAATCTGATCTAGAAAAATTGCTCAATTGAGAAGAGATGTTTCAATTCAACCTTGTTTCGACTGGGTCGTTCTGGACATGTGAAAGACCCTAAGGTCATCCGGCACGGCCAAGTGGTGTGATAGTTGCAGGAGATGGGGTCCTACTAACTATCTCCGGACAGTCCAACAATTTTTGACATATTTTGCTATTTTTGGATGCAAAGCATGAACCGATCTCTTCAAGGGGCTGTTAGAACATGATTCTTTTGCAATCACCCCAAGAAAGCATCCACTGGCATTCATAACTGAGGCTCGCAGTTCCACAGCCTCACGCTTTGCTCAGTTTGGGGACCTGGTGGATGTGCCCGCGCAGGGCCAAGAGGAGGGCACCTTGGCCGACTTGGCTAGTTGGTGTCAACATGAACCTGGTTTTGCTGGAGGCCATTTGTTTGATGTTCCCCCAAGGGAAATCTAATCCCCCCCAAAATGGATCATGACATATAATATATATGTTTTTTTTTCCTTTAAATAGTTCTTTTAGTTGCGATGTTTGCAGGTCCCAAAAAAACAGATCGAAGTTAGATGCTGAACAAGAGGTGTTCCAGGTCCTTGTGAGGCCTTGACTTCCCCCAAACCAATGACTTGTGTAGAACTTGTGCAGGCGTTTTTATTTTCCTGCACGGCTTTGGCGATTCAGCACGGGGCTTTGCAAGCCAACTTCCCAACCTGCTGCAGATGCCCCAGATGCGGTATGTGCTGCCAACGGCACCTTCATTGGGAGGCACTGCGCACAGTGCGGACCGTGGGCACGTGCACGTGGAAGGAAACATAGGTTGGCTAGATAGATTGATTAAATAGGACCCAAGGCAGAATGTTGGCTATGACAATATGGGTTTGTTTGACTTCGGCGAAGCATAGCCCGAAGCATACCTCCGAAGCGTACCCCATAGTCAAACATACGGCCTGGGAATCCTTTAAATAATGCAGGTAATATGTACTATCTCATAGGGGCACAGCGGCAACGATTTCTTCACCTTGAAAGAACTTAAACTATAACGATGAACTATATATATAGCATATAATATGATTGATACGTTTTTTGAGCATCATTGCAGACCAGAGCTCTTCTGGCACAATCGTCATTGCAGGGATCCATGGACGTGATTGTAACGGCCAAGAAGGATATGTTTGACCCCACGTCCCCAAATGTATTAGTTTTTGATTGTGACATTTATGGTGAATCAATTGGATCCTTTGCGATGATCCACTGAGCAGCTAAGCAGCTCCAAGTATAGCTACATGCTTCCCTGCGTGACACCCTTTAGCTCCAAGCCGTTGTTCATATGTTTTTCGTGTAGTATTAAACATGTTTTATTGCCATCATGTTGTTCTTACAGAACTTCAGCGTTGTCCCGAACGACTGATTCTTGACCCACAGTAAGAGTGACGGGATGGTTCGCAAGGCATGCGCTCCTGGTTTACGCCGGCTGCTTTGGGTGGCGGTGGAGAAAGCGTGGCGGTGAAGGAGAGCGTGGAGTATGTGACTTCGGCACGGAACTAGTCAACTAGTCTGGGAAAACATATATATGTGAAAGTGAAGACACAACAGAACCCACATGTGTGGGCTGTGCTTGATAGACCCTACTGTACCGGTCATGAAGGTCCACGTGGCTGAACTATCAAAATGTGAATCGATCTCACGTCGGGGCGAGTCAAGAGCAATGATTGGGTCTATGTTGGCTGTATAGGTTTTGGGACGAGCATCAAGCATTTTGAGCTTTTCACCAAAATGAACAAAGATTTGCAATGCAATGGAGATTATCCACACATACAGGGCGCGGCCCTCCCGAAAGGAAGAAACTCTCAACAAGGATATGATCCTTGAATATGTGTTGCTTTTTTCCTGCAAGGAAGATACTTTTGTGGGGATCAGGTGTGGATAAAGGAACTCTTGTAATACAGGAGAAGGTTCATGAGGATGTCAAGTACCTAGATGATCATTCATGTTACAGATTTATGTGATGATCTATATGGGTGCCACTGGGGAAACGGGATGTACTCACAGGGGTGCATTTTGTCACTGCCCACAGTCGGGATGTACTCCATGTCGGCAGTTTTTCGCCACAGAGGAGGTGGACCTGAGGACAATGGACAGATGGTGTTGGACGTCTATTCCAGGTTTATGCCAGACATGAACGGGTTTCCTTCAAGACTCCTTGGAGACAAAGAGAAAAACAAACACAGTTCACTAGATAGTTGTACGTTATTCTCCAGGTGGGAGGTGGTAAATATCCCAACATATCCCAATCTTGTTGCTGGCCAAACTGTTTGTTGACGAAAGGTAGCGGTTACGCTACCTGACCGAAAAAAGACCAAAAGCCAGGAAAGATTTTGTCGGAAAGGGTTTTTTAGGCTTTTGGAGGCTTCAAAATTGCACAAAGCTATGGTATTTACAGGGTTTTGTGCACCTTCCCGGCAGAAAACGCCGGTATTTACACGGTTTTCTGCGCTTTTCCAACGCCTGATTCCCTGCTACCTTTCGTTCACCCCCCTCCTCTCTCAAGTTTTCTTTGTGCCTGCTTTTCTTTCTCACCACAGCCTGGGGCCACGCCAAGGTGCACGAGTTGATCCGCCAAGAAATCACGCGTGGTGTCCGTCCAGGGCAGATTTTTGTGGGTGGTTTCTCGCAAGGCTGGGCAAAAAGAAACGACGACTGGTCGAAGGTCTTGATTGGAAAGGGGTTGTTAGTTTGGGCTGGGCCCGGGCCCAGGGTGCCCCCAACAAGACCATGTTGAGAGGGATCAAACATTTTTGTGAGAACCTACTTGGGAAGAAGAGGCTTCCTGTGGATGTTTGTTTCCTGAACCCAACGATTCACTGATTCACATATGACCAACCCCTCCAGCTTGGCTGGAGTGCGGACGTCGAGACGAGCCAGGGCTGGTTTCAATCAGGCTGGTGCATGTTGGCATTGAAAGTGTGCCTTCTATACCAAATACCTTTTTGGTGTTTGCACAAAATAAACATAGTTCTCTCGTCCAGTCATCCAAATCAAAAGAGGCGGCTGTGTGGCCGTGCGGGCTGCCTTGAGTTTCCCGGATGCCTCACTGGGTGGTGCAGTGGCGGCTTCCACGTTCTTGAGCATGAGCAGGCTGGTAGAGGTGGTTTGGGCACTTGGAGTAGTTTTTTGTGCGGTTGAGTGGTTTTTCGTGGTGTGTTTGGCAATTTGCTTATACGTTGGTCTCTCACTGAGGGCGAAAAAACTCATCAAACATGGCCATCCGAAGAAAGACCTTTGTTTGAAAAAATAAAGACATGAGATGAATCCATAGACCTTATGGCCTTAAGTTCTTTCCCTTGATTACGCCACGATCCGACGAGAGGATGTATGCGTTTCCGAAAGCAACGGCCCATCCAATCTTGGCAACCTGCACTTCATCCCATGACCCTTCTTCGTGCCGGCAGGTGGTTTGCAGAGAACCTTCTAGAATAAACGGTGGAGATATGATACCTCCTCCCCAAAACAACGTCTCAACCCACGCACGACAGGAGTCCGGAGGCTGTGAGCATTGCAGAGCCCAACAGGCCTGATGCTGGGAGTTAGCAATGATGGCGGGTGCATGGCAAGTGGCCATCACGCAGATGTCATCTTTCCCCGGGAGGTGAAAAGAACCAGAAGAGCAAGACGAGCGCAAACTGAAGAGAGCATGAGATGTTGAACATGTTTGTGGGATGTTGGTGTTTATGAGTCTCAATCGGAACCTAGGCGGCTCCGGCTCATGCATAGCTCAGCTTGTCGGGTCATGCCGGGTCTCTGGTCTATCAAGAAAATGTGAATCGGGAGACCAGAATAGACGATATAGTTGATTCGTTGACACCCTATCGGTTGCAGGATGTTCTATGTGTGCTCTCCAGACACACGGACTCCACATGACTCACAAGGCGTTTGCCGGTCCTTGGCTGCCACGGAGATGCGGATGGGGCTGTGCCCAGCTTGGCTGGGAAGCAGCTCGTGGAGCAGCTGAGAAACCAAGGCACGGGCGTGGCAGGGGGTGTCTTTGTTTGTCTATTCCATCTATATATTAGTCCTAGTTTTACTTCCTGTAAATAAGAAATATACCAATATATGTATATATTTATTTATTTATACAGGTGTCTATACTTAGAAATCCAACTATGCTTCAAAAGCGGACCTTGATAGATCGCACTGCTCACCGCTGGCATTTCAAGGAAGCAGGCTGACATAGGCTGACCCTTAGGTCTGAAAACCGCCCTGTAGCAGAAGACCAAGGAATGTCTCATGGACCGCAACCTGATCACATGTATACAATAAGGTGCTGGTTGTATTTGTTGGAACAGCTTTTTGCATTGTGAACTCTGACTCAAGAAGACCTGGCAACGAATGCAAGCAGGTCTATCCTTCTGCCCCAGGAGTTCCATGCAAAAGGACGCGTTCGTCGTAGAACGACCCACGTCCGGGGTTGTTCCCCTTACATCCCCGTTACCAAGTACAAGCTGGATCAAAGGGAGCACCTCAGGAACAGCCCTCACTTAGTAAGGTCCCTGCCAATTCTTTGCCTCAGGTGCCCCGCGTTGGAAAGGCATTCTCCTCTTGAGCCTCTTAAGTGTTCATGTAGTCATGCTTGGCGTTCGTTTTGCCGTTCACAGCGCCCTGAAGAAGCGAAGAAAGCTTCCCTGAAAGAGCCCTGGGGACCGCACTTGGCCCGTTGTCACCATCTCGTCGGCTTTAAACAGAGGCGTTCCAGCAGAGTTCAAGAGCTATCCCACCATGGGCCATGCCTATTGCCCGGAGGAGCCAGCGAAGCCGCCGTTTGCATGGAAAGCACAGCTGGCCCCAAAAAGCCAAATATGGAGGAAAGTCTTAGAGTCACGCATGGCGGCGTTCGGACGAGTCAACCCAACATGTTGTGAAGATTTCCTGCCTGTAGATCTCTCTGTCGAGCCATCTCTGTTTGCCCAAATCATCCAAGCAAATTCTGCACTCCATTTCAATTGGTGTTGGGCAACCAGGGTTTGCTGGGTCACACTCCTGGACTATCCTGGGCTATACTCCTCATTTGCTGAAGGAAAGCAGCGCATTGGTATTGGGGGAATTGTCCACTACTGGATGGTTTGTTGCCGTGCCAAAGATGGAAAAGGTAGGGGTTGTCTAGGTTGTCGTCAGCATCAAATCTCCTTCACTCCTTCACCCGCAATGCTCCTTCAAGGACAAGAAGGTTCATAGCCTGGGACAACCTGGATTGCTGTTTCTGTTTGTGTGGCTTTGTTCCAGCTGGAGGCCACCCCTGAATCCGATTGGTCGAACAGGTACCCAGAGAAAACGCATCCACGTCTCATGCTGTTGAGATGGTCGAAGGGGAGTTGCTTGATGTTGCTTGTATGTAGTTACATGTAGTTACTTTTGATTTGCATGCATGCTCCTCAACCCCTACCAGGGGAACGAGCTGACCAAGGGCAAAATGAGATGACACCCTTCTACCCAGTCGAGTTATAGATGTTCCAGCCCGGAGAATGCATCTCGTTGGGATCCCTGCACCCCAGGAGGCCCGGGACGTGGTGTCCTTCCTGACGCAACACCTGCGGAAGTCGCGCCCGCGCGGGGCAGAAGCCTTGGAGCAGATGTCCGCCAAGGAGCGGGAGAAACCCGAGGTGTGTTTGGATGTTCTTGGGTCCTAAGTCCTATAAGTAAGATATACCGTCAGTGTATAGCCAATATTAACAAACAACTAATATTGACTAAAAATGACAAATATTAACATATTAACTAATAATAATACTAAAATAATATGTTGATCGATCCCAGATTTTATTCTGCACCGTTTGGACACACAATCCGCTTTTGACGAACTGATCGTCGCAGAGATTCCTGCTGCCACTTCACACAGGAACTGAAAGCCTTGCTGCTGGAGAATGGAGTAAGTACCCTGGGTTGCTTTGAGAAGTGGGAGCTGCTGGAGCGCGCGAAAGAAGCGAATCTGTAGCAGGGCCATGCGGTGAGCAGCGCCATGCAGGGCCTGCAGTCGAGTGAGAATTATGCTCGACAAGAAAGCTTAACTGTTGGATGGAGCTTAACTGTTGTCTACTTATCTTGCCATTTGGGGTATGGTCAGTCGAGCTAAGCTTGGGGGTCAGTATCCAAAATCAGTTGTGTGTGTGTGTGACCAGTGTGTTCAGCTGTTTGAGAGTGAACAGATTTGTAATATTTTGTATACTGGGATATGCGGATGTGCAAATGATTATTTGTCATAGTGGCGCTTCCTGGCGTGGCGTCCCTCGACTGCAGAGCTATGGGCGACTACTATGCGATGTCTCTCGGGTCTTTGGGACTGCAGTCACCAAGGATCTGAGCGCAGTCGGTTCCCCAGTAAGGGCCTGGAAGAGTAACAGTCTAGTCCCGCAACAGGCGGCGGAAATGTACAGCCTGCTTCTTAGCAGGGTTGTGTTTCGATGACACCTCCATGGCGCCATAGCTCGGAGTATCGTGCACGGTGGGTTTCCTGCAAGTCCAAAGGTCGAACAGCTTCAGCTCGGTGGAGCACGAGGAAGATTTGAATCTACTCAGTGTCAGTTGTGAAAGTCTTGGGTATCTATGGGTGTGTTGCCTTGTGTTTCCTATGGGTTTTCCAGAACGATCAAACACCCGACGAGTTTCGCCACCAGACGGGGGACCCCGGACCCCGACGACGTTCGCGGCCATTGGACCCATCTTCAGCGTCGATGCGACGCTCCGTTCGCTGTACAGCGGCACAACGGGTGCCAAAAAGCTGTGTCAAGCGTGGATGTGCGACTGGCACTGGTGTATAGAACCCTCCATCTTTGGTTCCCTCACAGGGCGCTCGAACCCGGCTGAATCTAAGAAACTAGAAGTCAATTCTGCAATCAAACAGACTCTGAAAAGTGAAAGTTGTGAAAAAAGACAGGCCAGTCTGGCTAGTTTGGCTAGTCTGGGTTTGGTGAAGGATTTGGCTGCTCAGTTTCCTTGGGTGGTTTTGAGTAGCCTGATGTTCAGCCATTCCCAAGGTCAAGGACCCTAGGAAATCGTTGAAAGACCAAGTTGAGCTGCTTCGTTGAGTCAAACATGCAGCCCGTTACTACGAGGTGGGTGTGTAGAAGGCCACTACTCGAAGCTTGGCAATCTGGTGCTCAATGAGCTAACAGTGTTGGCCAATATCTTTGGAGATTTGAAGGTCATAGAGTTGATCGAGAACATCCTGGAGGGATCGTTGGCTCCCTTTGTGACGAACATCCTGTGGCCTGTGGCCCGTTAAAGTTGCTTTGTCTCGCTTTCTGCGCATGTGGTTTGTTTTCGGTTCTTGTTGCAAGCAACTCAACGATGCATAAAAGCTATAGGCTAATAGGTGTTCCATTCATGAGGGAGCCACACACGCGCTGCAGAAACTGTTCGAGTTGTTCCGTGCGCAGACTGGGAGCTCATGGTAGCGCTGGGTATTGTGCAGACACATGCAGACACAGACCCCAATATAGTCTTTGTGCACTGCCAAAGTTCCAATATCGACATTATCGACACTCGATCAATTGGTTGGAGACATGTGCCGCTGTTGAAACACCCCAAACAACTCAAAGTTAATCAAATTTAGATAAAATTGCAATGCATCTTGAAGCATTCCAATGTTCATTGACAATTTCTTGGCAGAGCACTGGAAAGCATGCAACGAGGTCTGAACTGTCTCCTTGCGCGAAGGACGGTTGGGGGTTTCGTGAGGTGCTGATGTGAGCCATGCGAACATTGTCGTGTTGCCAGCAGTTTGGGTAGCCCTGACACAGGGATGCCGATGTTATCCGATGTTTGAGCAGAACGAGTCAAGTTTTGGCATTTCTTCATGTAAGAGAGTGTCAAGATCTCCTATATCTTGGAGGTAGTTTGGGTATGACATGGGGGCATTCATCACACCTTTTGGAGTAACTTGCCATATCAATCGTGTGCCGCCTGTGGAGCAGTCAATGACTTGGCGCTTCTTAATTTGCGATGCCCTTGTTACTACTAGCTCCTTGCGACTTGGGAACGTGGGATGTGCACGGCTGGACTTTGGGAGATGTTTCCACGATGCTGGTGCCACATCCATCGTACACGGCAAGTCTCAAGTTGCTCCTGTCCATGTCCATAAATGGGTACAACTCTCTGGGCTTTCGTTTGACCTGCAATTGAAGTCATTATTTGGCCTCATTTGGACCATTTGGACCACCCATACCAAGTACGATCGAGTACATGTCACGAGCCATGGATTTGATGGGATAACAGAAGCATTGGTCGCTGCCATTGGTCGCGACCAACATGGACCAAGTCAATTTCCCGTGCACGGCTTACTTACTTTTGTCAGAGTTCCCTCCATTGCATAGGTTTGTCCTGCGTGGACGGTCAGAACAACTGTGCATGAGGAGGACGGATGCAGCTCAGAGATGGATGAGAGGCTCTACTATTGCAAGAGGCGGGGCAGGTTCCTACCCAGGCAGGCATGTTCACCTGCAAAATTGTTTGCATGGATGGGTTTCTGATGATATCAAAACTGAAGAGGTTGAAGCAAATTCTCTAGGCAAACGGATGGGGTCACAGGACATGTGAGAACTTAATTAGCGCAATGCAATAGGCTTTGCCATCAGCCATACCGCCTGCTTAAGTTTGTTCACACCAAAGTAGCTGGTGCTGTCCGCAGGTGTTGACTCATTGCTTTTAGGCCTTTCCATTTGTACTTTATAAAGGATATTTAAGAATTAATAAACTTTAAGAATGTTACATGATTTAGTGTTGAAACCGAGGTCAGTCATTTACACGCATGTGTGAGGTCCTCCGTGAAACAACTTTCTCAGAAGCCATACTGAAATGTTTTTTTGACATTGGAAGATGTCCTCTTGCTGCCGCACTGCTGCCAGCCAAACATTAGGTTGTCCCATGTGAGTCGACAGTTGGACTGTGTGCGGAGCCTGCACTATCAACATGATGTTGAAGGACTTTTTGCACCTGTTATTGACAAGAGGTGGTCCAAACATGTCCTAAAACATCCTAAAACCACACTCACGTCACCACATCGTGAAACTCTGGAATCCTCCAAGAATCTCTCGGAAACGGCTTTCTCTACTGACGACACATTGATCATGGACTTGCTTGGCTTTGCCCTTTTCCACCCCAAACACAATTGAACCATCCTGATTCTGCCAGCTGGCCCTGCCGGGTCTAGAGCGGTGCCTCAGCCGCCGAGCCTGGTTTTTGGAGAAGCAACATGTTAAAAGTTATGCTCACTTGGTGGGGGTTGTAAAAGTTTCTTGGGCTTTGAGCCGCCGAAGCTTCTGAGGGATCTTGATCGAGGGATCTCAATTCCTCATAATGGGGTTCCCGTGATCGGAGCTTTGTTCCAGAAAGCCTCCAACCTGCAAATGCTATGGGCAAAGACCAGTTCTGGTGCCATTGACCTGCATGCAGGAAGCGGGCCTTTGCTCCCCAGACTGCTGAGGTGGCACTGTCGAGTGGATTTGTGATGGTTCAGGCATGTTCAGGCCCACCATGGTTCCACCACTCTATGACAATGGACCCCAGTCACAGGACCGCAGATGAAACCGATAAAATGTATGGTGCCAAGTGTCCGTTGGCCCATGTTGTTCCAATGCCGTAGCATCCTTCTTCGATCCTTTTTTCTGATTAATTATCCTTTTAGCCCCTTCATTGTAACGGGTGAGACGGGTGACGTCCCACGTGCTTGCAGCAAACGGCTTTGCTTCGCCAGGCCCCGGAGCCACCAGTTCTGCCGCTTCGCGGAGTCACTGGGCTTTTCAAAACGGCGAACATTGTTGATCGGTGAGGATCCGTGAGAGGTGGATATTCGATCAGATGGTCGGTCTGCTTGTATTCCAGTTTTGAGATAGTTTGAGCCACATGTCAGATGTTGATGTAAATGTTGATGTGAATGAACGACATGAATCACGGGGTGTTGAGCCACATGGCATGCCGGCGAAGAGGAATCCCAGATCAAAAGATGTTGTGTGACCAGATGACTAAATATATTGTTTAAAACAATAGTGCTGCCGCCTCCAGACATTTTGATCTTTTCTCCTGAGTTTCTTTCTGGACAAAAGAAACCACACAAACCAAAACCACACCGGCACCAGTGACTGCGGAAGAGGACCCTCACCGGCCGAGGCGAGGACCCTCTTGCAGAGCATGCGGACGAAACCTAGGTGCTTGATGAGCAGCTTTGGTTGTTATTTTGTGTCTCCGAAACGGAAGTCATCGCTGATGGAAGGCATTCACACCCACACCATGCAATCAACAAACGATAATAGAACGTATGCTGCTAGTATTTGCTAGTAATTGACATGACCTGGGTGGTAGTAGTGTACATCTATGTCCACATTTGTTTTAAACAATATATATATATACATTGTGCCCGCTTTGTCAGATGTTCCTTGGAATTATTCGTCAATCAGGCCATGGATCGAATTAAAACCCCTTTTCTAGCCGCATCACGTACAAGAAGCACCCCTGAGAAACTTCTGTAGTGGACTGTGCATCTCGTGACCCTAGAAACAGATGAATCAAACAGATGAACTGGACTGAGAGCTCTTGGATGCACCTGGTGAATTCGAAGGAATTGTGCCAGGTCCAATCCCAACCTCCCAGTGGACGATGGCGAAGCCCTTTTGCTGGTCCGGAAGGCGGAGTCCTGACGACGACGTTTGTTTGGGCTCTCGATGTGGTCAACGACGTTTGAATCAGGAGGGTAACAGCTTCAACATGTTGGAGATCATATCTAACATCATATACTGTGCATAGTCGGCATGGACATCTCCCAGCTAGCCAACAACCATTCTTTCCATCAGCTAAGTATAAGTCGACTCCAAGTGAACTAGAAAGAACCACAAAGGACCCTACTTCATCACGGGAAGACCAGTGGTTGCGACACTGCATTATTTTTGATGTGTTGCTTCACAACTCCAAAACGCGGCCAATCGTCCAAGTCCAGGTCACAACCATTTGCAGCGGCTTGAGCTTCCTATACAACATCTCAGACAGTATATGGAAGATGTTGTCCACCCAAAAACGCGTCCTTTGTTCTGTTCGTAGGTTGCGGCCAGGAGCCCCGAACTCGGTTCACGTCCGATCGCCGCTCCGTTCGAGTCGTCGCGATGCCCGCTCCGTTCGAGTCGTGATGGCCTGAACACATCGAAACGGAACAGTCACAGAAGAGGACCAGTTGCACAGCTGGAGAAGAGGGCCAGCTGGTGAAGAGTGGAGGAAGTGTTGGTTTCATCTAGCCTCGGTTTTTGTGTACCAAGCAGTCATCCATCACAATCATCCGCAATCCCTTTGTTGGGGGTCTGGTGCGAGTGTCTCTTGGACCCTTTTCGATCAATGAAGAAAACAGGTTTTCACCGATGTGGTGCACACCCGGAAGAAAACAGCACATTCTCCCAGTGTAAGACGAAGACTTCGCGGTTCTGATCCGGTTTCGCCATGCCATGCCCCGCTCCTTGCGGGGCTCACGGGCCCTGGCGCGAGCAGCCAAAGTTGCTGCACAAGCGCAGGGGTTGCACAGCCCGACCCGGGTCGCGCCACCCAAGCGTGGGGCGTGCCGATGTTTTGCGGCCTTGGGCTCCAGTGGAGCTCGTTCGAGTCACGTGGGGATGTTCCTTCACGCGGTCCGGGAGAACAAAGAGAAGTTTAGCTTGGCAGCAAAACTGCAGAGCCTCGAATCAAAGAAGTGATTCTGAACGTCTGGAATCCTTGCAAGAAGAAAGGACAAATACAATCAAATACATACAAATACAAACAAAGGCAATTTGCCCAAACAACCATTCTTGCAACAACCTTTTTCAGTGTGCGTTCTCCATTGTTTGCCGGTGTTTCTGTTTTTTGTTTGTTTCCTGCTTTACGATCCACGTGAACTTCCCCTTGACCACTTGATGTTTGCAGGACGTACAACTCCTTCATGGGCCACCTGCTTTTGTGGGGTACTGGTACCTTTCCGTTTCTGAATCGACAGTTGGCCGGTGAAACACCGATTCTTCGAACGAGACATACGGTCAGATCATCCTTGGCACATGGCGAGCTGGCGAGCTGGCTAAAGGGATGGTCTTTGGACGTGGAGTGCCCAGCCGACCAAGGCGAAGCCCCTCCAGTGCACGACATCTGCGCTTCTTCCGCCCAGCTCAGCTGTTGAAGGAAACGAGATCGGGGTGAGATGGGGCCAGAAGCCAGTGAGGTCAATTGGAGTATATTATATAAGGGGTAAACATAGACCAAAGAGGACCAAAGTAAACTAAACTGAACACTTTTTGACTGGCAGGTGAACCGAACTTTGATGACGCAAAGCAACCAAAGTTGTGTTCCAGACAAGTAGGAGTTTGCTCAGCAATGCCGCCAGCCACCAAACTTTGGGTCTCTTGGTCTCTTGGTTCTGCACTGAACTTGAATCAAAATCATTGAATCATTGTCATTGTGTTTACCTAAGCTGTTTTTGGATTTCCAGGTCCAAACTTTCAAGTGGGTCATGTAGAATCATGGGTTCACAGTTCACAGGTTTATGACTCTCTTGAGACTGGTGTTTCAGGAAAAACATGCTGATGCATCCACGAGGTTGATCAGTGCTCCTTCCGTCGATAATCATCAACAAGCATGGCCCTTAAGAGCGCTCATTGCTGTGTAGTACTGAGTTGTTATGACTTGTTCCCTCCTTTTCAATTTTGCAAACTGAGCTTGTCCCACTCAATGATGAGATAGCCTGAGACAGCAGGGTCCTTGGCGTCTCCAGAGTGGCAGGCAGTGGATTTGGCCATTGAGACCTCCACGTCCCTGGCACCGTTCACACCGCTGCTGGCGCAGAAGCGTTACGCGCGGTATCTGTGTGGCTCCGACTGGAGGGACAGGGACAGGGACAGAGCACCTAGTGCTGCGAGGTCGACCATGTTGCGAGGAGATGTGACGACGTATCCAACGTATGGATGGTTTAGGGCCTTTCGTATTGGGTTACAAGGGAGCACATTGGGTTCAGAAACTTCCGACTCGCAGAACCAAAAAAAGAATAGAAATGAAAGGAATCGCAATGAGTGAATATGACTGTATGACAGTATGATCTGCAATGATCTGCATGAATGGGGAAGTTGATCCAAACAGAGCCGCCAGCAAGCTGAGCAAGCTGTCAAATTCGACTCAGCAAGCTGTCACGTCCACAGTCGAGGATTTTCGAAAGAGTCGAACCATCCTTTGGTCGAAAGAGCTCGCTAGAAATGATGACGGGATCGTCCACAGTCCACGGTCGATTTCTTGACGGCAGTGGTGACCCTTCTGAGGTGAACACCCAGCAGATTTGGTGAAGACCATCGAGAGCATTTTGGGAGCCTTGGAATTGATGAAGGTGATGTCTTGGTGTCCTATACTGGGTCACCCAACTAGATGGTGAAACAATGTGAAAGGGTGAAGGATGTTTCACCGGTTTCAATGTCTCAGGAGCCGTGAAGATCCAGGGGGACGACCGCTACAGCTTCTTCCAGCAAATCGCAAGGCTCTTGGTGGAGGAAACGCCCTTCTTTGGGGACCAGGCGGGTTACGAGAAGGAAGGAGTTGGGGATGAGTGGCATGGTCTTTGGAGAAGAAGAGATCCAAAAAGCAATGACACATATCGTTATGATTTTATAGCATATTATAGCCTAGCCACAATGTATAATAATGTAGAAGCTCCACTTGAACGTTCCTGTTCTGTACCTGGAAGATCCTGGAGGCAACATTGAAATGGATGAATCATAACAAAGACCCGGCGATTGTGGGGTCTACTCATACAAGCATACTGTACCCGTTGTTGGACAAGTCTCGAGATTGTCGTTTATGAGGGCTGCCCCGCATGGAACCACATGGTCATGACTCATGACTCATGGCCAGTTACTGTAGGTTGAAAAATAAAGAACCCTAGAACCACCCGGAAGCATTTCTTCCGGTTCTTGATGATCAATTGCGACCTGACAGGAGCTCCAGATCTTCTGTGCCTTGGCCAAGGCTGGGCGAGGCAGCTTCCGGAAGCTCCGCGAGGATGAGGCCCAGGAATTGGTCATTGAGATTCTTGGCAAAGCACTGGCACTGAGCCCTGGTGATCATCGCTAGTACTTGTAGGTTGGAGGCCATTGCTAATGGATCACCCCTGAGGACAACAAGCACTGGGACCACACGACAGAAGCAAGCAGGTGCCCGACCAGACGCGTAGTCGACCTGCATGAGACGGTCCCCATCCCATCGGCAGAGAGCTAAAAGGAACAGGGAAAATTATGGAAAATGAACACAAAAGGTACAAATCAAAAGCTTCACGGCGATTTGCATGCCGGCCGCATGTCAATTCTGCAGTGTCCTTTCCTTTCAAGATTAAAATGGACCAGTGGAACAACGCAAGGCAACAATAATTTAGAGAGTTTTTGACAGGTTCCCCCCTAACCAAAGACCCAGGATGATCCACCTGGCCACTTTCCCCGCCGACCAGGATCTTTGAGCGCCGGTCCAGCAGCACGTGGGCGCCCGACCAGGCGGCGGAATTCTTCGTGGCCGCCACCCGCGTGGGCGACACACGCGCGACAAGCGCTGTGGCCGAAAGACTAAAGCTGCTGATCAGTGGCGAGGCCGCAGGTGTGACATGATGCACAGAAAAGAAGTGTTGCATTTCACAAATCCAGGAAGGTGGTTTGGGTAGTCTGGTCCCAAAAATTCATCTTGAGTGCTGTTGATTTGTAAGGCCAGTTGCTGCCCGAGATCAGTCCCAAATTATTGGCTGGTTTGGCACACTCCTTGCGCGCGAGCAGCCGCCCGGACAGCGCGCATGGTGACTTTGTGTTGCTGCACGCGATTTGCCGGCGAGCGGCCAAAGCCTTCAAGGAACACCAACTGTCCCCGGATGCTGCAGTCACGCTCCTGCTGGTGTGTAGCTTGGATGTCGATTTGGGGCAGGTCTTCATAAGTTGTACCAGATATGGGTGTTTCTTTTTGCCAGTATATTCCAGTATAATAGATGACGCACAGACGGGGACTGTCGAACCCTTTGTTTGAGGGTGACACTTAGAGTACTAGGTGCTCACAGTGTTGTTCCACTACGGGTCTTGACTAGCTGAATCTGACTGTCCAACATGTTTGACACGGAAAGACACCGATCCTCAAGTTGGACAGGACTAGGAATCAAGGAGCTGGCCAGTCAGACCCAGTCCCACTTGTTAGCAGTTTCCCTATCGACGTTTGTCCGTTCAAAGTGCAAGCTTACCTGGCCCGGCGCTTGCTTTTCAAACAAAGGGCCAAAGGGCTACTGCATCGATATGTATAGCGTAGAACTCTGTATACACCCATTGATTCTTGCTCAGCAATGAAATACTTGATTCTTCCTGGTGAAATCCCAGGAACAGTAGAAACAGAACCTCTTAAGTTTCACGGACGCCCATTATATACAATTTTCCACATTTGGGCTTGGGATCACAGTGTGTGTGATGTGTGTGTGTTTATTTTGCACAAGAAAGGCACAAGAAGGAAGTTCATGTCGAAGTGGACGATAGGATGTTTGACCCGCGCCAATTCCGGGACGCGGAGGTTGCAAACTTGCCATCGTAAAGCTTTGCAAGTCAAGATGAAACCTATAGACTCATGCAATCTCATATAGCCTCCGAGAGAGAGAGAGAGAGGAGCCATTTGCTTAGGATGCATCATCCTGTTGTGTTGCCTTAAGTCATAAGTCTTTAATGCTGTGTCCTGCCCCTGGGCCTCCACTGGGCCCCGGATCCCTGGGAGGTAGCCGCTGGGAGATTCATGACGAAGAGCTCTTGCAGAACGCCTCACAGACACTTGAGGAAAAAGCGGAGGAACTCCCAGTACGAGATCTTTGCGAGGTGATCTATGCGGTCACCTGGCGAACTGAAATCCAAGCTACCCAACTTGTCTAGTTGTGTTGTTGCACATGGTGGGGTTTGCGAATGGTGGTTGTGAAGACAGGGAGGCTGAGAGGCTCATAAGGTATGTTGTTGCATTAGGTAGAACCTTTGGAAACATAATCCTGCTGAAAGGTTGAAAGGACCGGGGTTTCTACTTGGAGCAACAAGCAGTGTCCACCACCAGTGAGCAGTCATTAGCCATCAAGGACCTGATAGGTAGGTGGCCAGTTGCGTACCCTGCATTTCCAGGCACCCATGAGCCAGGGTTGAGATGTTGGGGAATCTATCTCCATGTCCACCACAATACCACAATTATCCAAGTCTTCCCTTCCCAACCTGAGTTACCCGTGCTGACTGGAGGAGGCCTGTCATAGCTTCTTCCATCCTTTTCAACATGGTTTAGACTCGTCGGTTGTTGACAGCCATTGAGAGCTGATGGCCAGTTGGTACAGCTGGAACCTTTGGAACCAGGTGAGTAGCATGCACGTGAAGGATGTCATTGGCCTGGAGGTGGGCAGCTGCCGTTGAAACCGAGCCAATCCCATGCGTTTCGCAAAAAGATGCAACATATCATGAGTCATGACAGTCATGAGTCATGTCTCATCACTTGTCACACTATAGAGATCCGAAAATAGAAGTAAGTGGAGAGCGAATACATGTATAAATATATATATATATATAGATGTACTATAGTATATGGTAGTATAGTTCAAACATGATGAATATATATATATATATATTATATATACACATGTTGCATATGATATATAAAATCCTTTTTAGACGTGTTTTGGAAATCAATTTTTGTTTATTTGGGACCCACACTATCCTACCTTGGCTGCCCGGCCTGGAGACGAGGCCATTTGTCGGCAGCTCATGGACCGTGCAGCGGATATGGCGGAGCCGGACCTTGTTCGCTTGCTGCGCGGCCTGCTGAAGCTCAGGCATCATGATGAGGCCGTGTGATGTTGGCATGCAAATCATGAGTGTTACTGTCACTTTGTCTCTCTGTTCGTCTGTCTTTGTGTGTGTTTTTGTTCGTTCTTTTTGGATTTTTTTGGTGTATTCTCACATCTTTTCGGGAGGTTTGAGTGGTTGTCGAAGTTTTTGGTAGGTGTCTCAAGTTTGTGTTGCTGTGCGTTGCTGGAGTTTTTCTTTTGGAGGACAAGGAGATCCGAAGCAGCAAAAATTAGTGTAGGTACTCCACATCAGAATTTTGCACAGGCGCAGGACTAAAGAACATTCTCTTTCTACTCTTTATTTATGTGTCCAACTTCAACTTGTTGTTTGTTTTTTGCATCAAACTAATGCAGCTTTGATTGTTTGCTTTGTGACAAAAACTGCTAGACAGTGACGTTGGGGTTGAAGGAATATATATATATATATAGATTATAGATCTCACAACCTTTGTGAGGCGCTGATGGGGGTCTTGGCGCCACTGGTTTTGGCGTCTCAGACACGAATGCAATCGGTGAGTTTGTGCCACTTGGCGAACGTTGCGCCGTCAAAAACTTGCGAACCCATTTGCCGTGGCGCTTGAAATGGTGATTGCCACAAATAATTCTACAATTGAGCTAAGAGTTCTGAGGGGTATATGACTTAGTAGTAGGATGTGATTCTTTTTCCCGTGTGAAGTCTAGAATCAATAAGTCAGTCTATACCTTAGGGCTCACCGGTCGGCTGCTACCCTCACCAAAAGGGACACAAGATTCCACAAGGAAGATCCAGAATCTTTGAGGTGGGAAATATTGGCTGGGTATCTCCAAAAATAAATATCTCCAACAGACATAGCAACCACCTGGAAGATGAGAACTTCACTTTCCTCGGGATTTGCAACATGTTGGCTTGGGGAGGTACATCAGATCAGAGGGTCGAATGATTCTTCCAGGTCCCTACAGGTCTCTACGCTTTGCAACCTCATCTAAGGCAATCTCATCCAGGCATTATCCTTCTTCTTCAGCTCAGAGGAGCCAGCAGGGCACGGCAAAGAAAACATATAACTGCCTCCCAAAGACCACCAGAACCTCCAGATCCATATCTTGACAGCCTTCAATGCTTCGTCTCAGCTGTCCAAGGTGGATAGAACACATCGAACCATGTCCTTGAAATCGTCCTCCAGCAAGGGTCAGTTTGCCTTCCAGTGGGTGTGTGTAAAGAGGCAATTTAAAGAAGATGATGGTGGCTGATGCCCGTTGGGTTCGATCCCTTCTCACGTCACCAAGTTCGCATTGGCATTCGCTTTTGCATGTTTTTGCCGAACAAATCTCCGCGTTTCTCCATTTGAAGCCCACCTGTTGGGGTTATAACCCTAACATCCCATGGTTTATCATTCGGGATTCGACACACAGCGAGGCGACGAGGTTGGTTGTGGTGTCCGCTGGTTTGCTCCGTCTCGCTCTAGCTTCAGCAGCATGACATGGTAAACGGGGGTGGCAAGATGGAGGAAACAAGAGCCTCATCCATTCGGTCACGAGTCATCCTGATTCTTCACACTTGTCAAATGTTTGAAGCTGATGAACTCATTGACAAGTGTGGAGAAATCCCCAACCAGGTTGTTTCTCGGTTCATTCCAAAACTTAAATGGTCGCACCTGGTTTCGCGGACCAAGGAAAGGCCACTCCGTTTCAGGCCACTCCGTTGGTTCACTCGCAAGCTCGTAGGAGTTCTTTGTGGAGCTCTTGTCCACTGCTACGAGCCGAGAGCTGCAACCAATCTCGGTGCAGCACATCTTGTCGGCGCTCTGCCGGCTTCAGGGACGAGTGGCCAATGAGAAGCTGAAACCGTCCTTGACCCTCGAGCTGGACTGGTTCTGGGAGACGGGATGTTCATGTTGTGAAATGGGTTCTCCACGGTTCGTGTTCCTTTTCCAAAACCAGTGTCTTTGGGATGTAATTTGTGCATCGTTTCTCCTGTACCTGAAGATGTTTGTTTGCGAGAGATACGCACACTTTCTCATCACCAAGATCTTCAAGGGGTGTCCCGAGCATCAGTTTTCAGGTGGTCTATGGAGAGGCATTCTGGGCCTTTCATCAAAGAGTGGATCGAGTTGTTGTTAAATATAGATTGTGTTAAATTAATAGTCCTCGAAACGTGCAATATCTGAAATTCAGTGAATGTAATTGACTGTATATATATGATATATTTATATATTCCGGAACTGAAAGATGGAATGCAATTTTTGAATGAAAAATATCTGAGTCTCAGGATTATCCATGACATATCCTGAAGATTCCTGAAGTTTGAAGGGAGCAAGGCCTTGCGGTATTCATCGATACCCATTATCAGGTGCATCCCAGCTGCAAGTTAGAATGCCTTTACCCAAAAAAGCTCAAACACGTGCAACAAACAGTACTGTAACTTTTTGTTGGGGCATGCTAAGTTTCAATGCTATCGTTTGGATAAAAGTCGGCATTCTAAGTTTCAGCGTGGGAATATATATATATACTACAATTCTTGCTCGTGGCTGCTTGTGCATCGAATGTCCTGATGGGTTCGTGCTTCGCTTGGATCGATTTTTCTAAGGTAGACTTCTCATCAGGCCATTCATTCCTTTGCGACAATTCTTGGAGCGCAAATCCGGAGCTCCAAAGGAATGGATTGAACATATCTTTATGGTTTCTCTCGGGCTTTACAATTCAACATGCTGGCAATTTCGAAGCAGACCAAAACGAAGAGCATCATCAAAAAGACGACCTTCGTTGGTTGCAAATCCATATGCATTTATATACATGCACCAACGAAGACGTCCCGTTGATCCCTCACTTCTTAGCGCCTCAGGGACTCCCTTTTCGCTCAGATCGCGAAGATCGCTCTGGCGCGCCGATCCGTGGAGCAGTCCTTGTCGCCATCCTTCTCGCCTGTCCAGGTGGGGGGTGGGCCGGGTGGACCTATGGCGCCTATGGTGATAGGACCTTTGCCATACTATTTGTACAGGTGATGCTGAGATATACTGAGTATATGAGTCAACAACCCAAAGGTTAGCAGGAACTTTCAATCACATGTAAATGGTCGGTTTGGCTTGGTGAACGGGAAATCGCTATCAATCTAGCAAAGCATCCCTAAACAAGAAACGAACGTCCACGCTAGTGATTTCGATGGGGTCGTGTTGTGTATTTAACGCTGCACACCCTTAACTGCAGGGGTGGGGTAGTGGACCGCCTGTCCGCCTAGTGTTGCACCCGGGGATTGAACCCGGGTGCGACCATGAGGGATGCGTCATGGCCCATGGCTACTAGACCATACCAGCCTGGCGCTTTGGACAAATCTTTAATGGGTTTCTCACTCACGCGGTAAACCTTGAAGCAACACATGTTCTACGAAAACTATTTTCGTTTCTTGAAGCCTTGATGATGCGCGGATTCCTTCAAGGCATCACTAGAGGGTGAACCCCAACAAACCTCAATCATTACATAAGACATCCCTAGGAATCCCTTGTGAATGTTTGAGGATTGTGAGCTAGAGGCAAAAACTGAAAAAGCAATATTCAATAGTGAGATGACATGAGGTAATTACGATGGAATGGGATCCGATGGGAGGAGATGAAGCTATAATATATAAATTAACATAAGCAAAAGAGAGGAGAAGAGAAGCGGGTCGGAGCTGCGCAACTTGTCATTCGTTAATTGAAACATCCAGGCACCAACGCAAAGTACCGCTCCCTGGTGTTCCTTTTTGTCGTACAGGCTAAGCTTATTTTACGTATTTGTACGTTGTCTCCTCTTACAGCATCTCGCCGAGCTGATCGGCCGAGCGAAAACCTGTCCTGCCCCGCCTCAGGCCATGAGCTCCTTGGCCGCTTTGGCCAAGCTCCAGCAGCGCAACCTGGTGGCTGCCTCTGTCTTCACCAGTGCCTGAGTTGTGTTTTCACCGAGCGTCGCGGACAAAACCTGAGACTTCGAAGGGGCAAACCTGGGGATACTTCGGTGGCAGAAGGGTGCAGGTGAATGATCCAAATCGACACGGAGGAGTTGAATCCCCCAAAAGAGGAGAACTCAATAATGCATTTAAAGTGCTGTGTACTGTATAGTAATAATATATTAATGTATTTAAGATATCATATATATGTATATGTATACATTGATACGGGCGATACGGCGATACGGGGAAATTTTCTTGGCAGGGGGCTGCCCCCACTGTGTAACACTTATAATTGTTATCCCTATACACACCCTGCTCTGTAGGCCTTGTCTCCCAGGCTCCAAGGCCTCATATGTCTACAACGGATTCTTTCCGTTTATTTTTGGTTGGGACGGAGACCGGGCCGCCCTGGGGCGGAAAAGGAAGGATTTTTTAGCCGTGCACCGCTTGTGCCAGCTTGACACCTATAGGGAAAAAAGGACACACAAGAAGACTTTCTGTTCAGATCTGTTCAGCTTGTGAAGTGGCATGAGGTCATGACCCGGACCCTTCCATTCCAGGTCAGGTGGTGTGCTTAGGTGTGTTTGGTGATGTCTATGGCCTCATTTTCCAAAACATCGCACCGCAGTCCAAGAGGAGCACGTGACTCGAGAGGAGCACGTGACTCCTCGGAAACTATAAATCGCTTCTATATGATGGGCCCGTAGAGTCTGCCAACCCCTGCACAACCAGTTGGTAGATGGCTACAATTCACTTAAACCTAGTGAACACATAAACATCTTTGATCCGCTCAGTCGTGACTTCCACATGGAAGTGGATTTGACTTCCAGCACAAGCAGGAAGTTCTTGGTTCATATTGATTCAGGTTGATTCTTGTTGAGTCTTCCCGGCGCAAGGTGTCCTTTGTGGCATGGGTAGCAGCACTGTCTGGCACTGGGCCAAGTCGCCCTACTTCGCCAAGCATTTGGACACTTCGATTCAAGTGCCGAGATTCTCCAAGAAGCGAGGTGCTCCCTTCGATCTGGCCAAGTGTCGCACTTTCTTGGGAGCCTTGGAGGCGGGAAAAACACTCCATGCGCAGCCAAGCGATTGGCGCACAGCATGATCTGGTGGAAGCTTTGGCTTGGGACACCTGCACAGCATGACCTTCTACTTGTACCTGCTACAGTGAATAGACGGTTTCGAGCCCGTGCCTCTCAGGTCCCCTCTCGTGTGGCAGGGGAGCATGTGTGGTCAGCTGACGTTCAGGGTGCAAAACTGTTTAAAGAGATCATACGACCATCCCATCCAAATTAGTTTTGGATGCAAAGAGCATTCGCAAAGAGAACCTGTTCATTCATGTGTTTCGAGCTGCCATACTGACCACTACATTCTGTCCTTGTTCAAGGTGTTGACTCCGGGTACAGGGTTTAGACGGTTTAGGCTGACACCACTTTTGGGCTTGCTTCTAGGTTCCAGAGGCCATTGCTATTAGGTTGGAGGCCATTGCTTGCATGTTTTTACTGTTTGATTTCTCCATATGAATTTGTCTCACTTCCAGCCACACACCTAAACTTCTGGCCCAAACGGTGAGGCCTCCAAATGTGTGGAGATCTTGCATAGTTTGTCAACTTTGGAGCTCCACAGCCGCCTCACGGTGCATCTCACGGCCATGCTTTGCAGCATCCTGGCGCCGCAGATGCACGAGCTCAGAGCCAAGGAGGCGAGAGAGCTGTTCGAGAGAGAGAGAGAGAGTAGAGTTCGAGAGAGAGACTGGTGGTCTTTCGCGGTCGAGAACATAGCACATCGTGGTTCCAGAATTAGCTTCTGAAGGCGAAGAGCTTGTATGCCTCTTGCCCAGAAACGAAACCAAACCCCTCTTAGGAATGTAGGTCAATACTCTTTGAAACTTGTAAAGACAGGAACATCCAGCCACAATGATCCAATACAAAATCCACAAATTGATCCGGCCCATCAGTGTGAGAATCCGTGTTTTCTCTTCAGATTGTGGATAGTGGATGGGCATGGATGGGCTGTTATGAGGATTCCTTGGGTGAGGAAGAATAGTGGTTGTCCATTGAAACGACCTCAAAAGTCAAGACATAGAATACAGTAATCATCCATGCCTCAAGTGACAACATATTCATATCACATACAACATGTATGGTTATATCATGTTATATCACATATATGGTTATCACATGTTGTTTGTTATGAAAAGCTGTTAGCTAGATGAGTATGTTCTTGCTTTAGTGATTAGTGATCTTTCGCTCGGTTCGAGGAACATTGCAAATACAATGAATAACAGCAAGCTATCGTTCTGGCATTTTTATGGCATCATTGCTGCTAGATAAGGGTAAGCCGGGTAAGCTGGCCGTTGAGGCTAGGCATCGTTGCTTCATTGAACCAGGGTTGCATGGTGATCACTGTTGCAACCGATCGCCCCAGCTTCCGTTTGCCCCACTGGCCTCAAGCATAACATGTAAGTAGATAGATACGGCCGATGTCCAGTACGCGTTGAATGTTGTTGTGGCTGGGATTTGCGTGCCTAAGCATCCAAATACTTGCTGTGGGTCACTACATTAAGATTGACTGTGCGATGTGTTCATTGGGGTATGTGGACAACACCAGTAGTGGTGAAGTTTTGCTCCAGCTGCCTTGTTTAACCTGCAGTTGGATGACTAGACTCTGATAGATCACAAGTTGCATGTTCCACTTAGCCCACCATTTGGATGACAGCCCCACCATCCACAGAAAGCTTGTACAGTACCTTTTGCGCTTTACTTTCTTGACACGAGCTCCCACGAGCTCGTTGGGCGCAGGTCTTGGTGGTGGCCCGGGCCTTCAGTGTCTTGGACCGAACCGATGGTGGCGGTGGTGGACGCGGATCAACCCATGGTCCGATTTATGGGGGTTTTGACATGTAAACAAACACAGGAACCAAAAAAAGCAATTTAACGATATGTAACATAAATAATTATAAAAAAGCACATGTGTTTTACATGTATATAGATGTTTTTTACCCGTAGAAACATGCATTGATGTTTCCTTCCACTCAGGGTTGACCAATAATCCTTTCTGAGCTGTGTCAACCCCCGAAAGGACGCCTCTCCCCAGTCGGTGGAGCCAATCGCACGGGTCCGGGGGCTCTCCGAAAAATCTTGTTTGGTGTCCTATCTCAAGCATCCTATTGGACTCTAACATCATTGTAGAGATGGATTGTCTTAAAAAAATGTGTTCCTGGTGGAATAAGATGTAACCATCCATGTATACTCCATGTTGTGGTGGTCCAGGTTCTTTTTTGTATTTCGTGTGTTCCTCCCATGTCCTGCGCATCGAGGTGTGGACCGTTTGCCAAACTTCCTTTGGCGCGATGCGGCTGAGGGGCCAGAGGGCTGGCGCGAGCGGGCCTTGGATTTGTGCTTCCAAAGCCTTCGGCGCCACGAGCACTTCTTGGCGACTTGGAGAAGTTCGGTCTCGGACTTTGGTTCCTGGTTTGGGGATCAAACTTGTGCCGACCTGGGGTGAGGCAGGATGAAACAAGTTCGAGCGTACTTGTGTTGAATCCTTTGGATGCCGCACTCCCGCGAGCACTCCTGCCAGTGCAGCCATGTTTCCCCCAAAAACTTGTTTGTCGGGGTGGGCTTGGTTCCCCAAGAGCCACAAACTTCAACATGTGTGTTTGTGCGATGTACCACAGTTTTCGAACACGTACTGCGTTTCCATGGTGTTGTAAGATAACACCGGTGACTTTTCGCAATCTGGGTGACTTCTCTCTAATGACTAATGCCGCGCATCCATGCGGCCGGGTGGATTTCCGCAAGACCAGCGGCCTTATAACACTTACACTATTGAACTATTCTAGAATATTCTAGAGGACTTTGCTTTGCAAGGTGAGTGTTGGCTTCGGGGAGTAGTCAGATGGGCCTCAGGTTCCCAAAGTGGGACATGTGTGGAGCGTTGGGTTTCTTTTGGTAGAGGGGATCACCAGGACTCCAAGCAGAGAGTTGGGCAGTGAACTTGATGTTGAAGTGAGAGGTGAACCAGTCATTCAACTGGTGTTACATTGGTTGTGGTTCACTCATGCTAAGCCGCCAAGCTGGGATTTGGCCTGTAGGCTCTGACTGAGCTGTGAGCAGAAAATTTGAACTGGTGTTATGCCACGGCCATGTTTTGACAGCGCAATGCGGCCCAACCAGGGCAATGTCAAGGTTCTTTTCATTGCCCTTTGCTTCCACAGGGCTGCCTGTTCATGACCAAATTCTAGTCTTGTTCCTGTCGTAGTCCCTGCTTCGACCATTACGCCATGCCGTTTCACTAGATTTGAGGATTCCAGCTACGAGAGTTTGCTGCCCTTCAAGCTCTTGTGCCTACAAGTGAACTTCGGCACCTTTGGCACTCGACGCCTGCAGGAGTTCCTGATGCTCGGATCCGCACGTTGGGGAGAAAACATGCGCTTCGGGAGGCTTTCGGAGCATGAAATTCCTACGGCGAAAGTGCAACTTCTGAGCTTGCCAGGTAAACTGGTGCAGTGGCTTTTGGAGTGCGGTATCTTTGGGCGTGGTCGATCTGACCATTCTGGGCAATCTGTTGATTTGCCACATATTTTTTGGGGTTGTGTTCTGGCAATGGTAGGAATTTTGGAAGATGGGATGGCGGAACCACTGCAGGATGCAAGGGGAGCCTGCAAGATGGGGCCACCTCCCCACCGAGATTGCTGTGGCAGGTTTGTAACCAGAGCAGAACCTCACAAATGTCGATTCTGCAGGAACGTTACAGTCCAAGTGTTCGGTCATAAACGGGGATTGCCGGATGGTGGCCCACATTTGCCCACCATGTGCGAAAGCATTTTGAAGCATCCTGGTTCCAAAGGCTTGGGACGGTGGCGGTGAAGAATTAAAAACAAGACAGCCATCAGCCATCCCAATGATAATATGGCAGATTTAACTCTAGCACTGCCCCATCTTGAACCACTCCAAAAAGAACATGGTTGAAACATGTTAAAACCAGGTCTCCGGCCATCCATGCCATGCTCCTGGTTTTCTACGGCCAATCCCAGCCCGTTCGCCTGAATCCACCAAGATCCTTAATCTCAGCCCCGAGCATCGTCTCCCGGAGGTATTTCTTTACCCGGAGGTGTTTTGAACCGAAGAATGGGTGATTTGGGACCGTCCAGGAACCAATGTCGCTCCAGGAACCCTATGCTCTACCGCTTTGTGGACCGTCTGAACAGCTTGAGCTTCGAGCAGTGTGAGGCCAACCGGGAGGAGCGCCGCGGCCTCACCGAAGAACTCACGGAGGAGTGCCGGAACGCACGTTCGAGTCATGCCGAGGTGGAGAGAGTTCAGCTTGGGTGATTTGGATTGATTTGGTTATTTTGATGTTGTTGGCTTTTGGTAGGTGTTTGTTGGTTGTTCTTTGTATTCCGGAGGGAGCAGACAGCACAGAGATCGACGGGTCATGTTCGATGAGTTTGGCAGACAAATAATCTCCATATAATATATATATATATATACACCGGTGAAAACTAACATTTTCACCATGTTGTTTGCATATGTTAGCTAGTTTCCGAGCGGACACCGTTGAGACTAACCTAGACCAAATTCAGATGTGCCATGGTGGGCCCTACGGGTACTTGGCATGGTCCATGTTAGCCTCCACCGGGCTATGTTGACCTCTACGGCGCGGTCCATGTTAGCCTGCGTTCAGTTTATGGTCAGATTTGCAGTTGGTCCATGTTAGTGTCAAGATCGATCATAGACTGAGAGTGGGAACGGTCCGTGTTAGTGAGGGTCCAGAAATTGCCCAAAAAAGCGCTAATTTGTGATGCAAAAGATGCAAGGTGAGCCCCGGCATCACTTGCAGCATCACGAACAATTTGTTTCTTTTTGAAATCGGACCACAGGTGACCAAACGGGGTTTCCAAAAAAACACAAAGCGTTGCTAAGATTTATCGACTCGCGAACAACCCCACCTCCGAGTCGTAAAGACTCGATGACGACCAAGGGGGCGCGATTCGATACCTTGTGCAGGGTGGCCCAAAGAGCACACGTTGGGTCAGCTGCTTTCCAACTCACGTTGCGCAACTGGCGCTTTATGTTGCTCAACTCCGTTGCAGTAACTTACTTATACCTATTTGCATGAAAGAAGAATGGTTCGTTTGTGGACCCAGTTGCTTGCAGATGCTTTTACTTTTTCTGTCTAATAGCATTGGATAGTTGGCATTCAGAGTTTCAATTCTGTCTAATAGCATTGGATAGTTGGCATTCAGAGTTTCAAGGGTTCTTCCCATTTGTTGGAAATGCATCCAGAGGCAGGTTTGCCCGCGATTGGCTCAAAATGAGAAGGCCTTACTTCACAAAGGGCAAGTGCCTGGGAAGGAGCAGGCCATGTGGCTACACCGGCTGTCATTTTTACTTTGGCCGGCTGTCAAAAGCACTGGTGGTGCAAATATATCTGGATGTTTATTCTCTCAAAAATGCATTCGGGCCCCTGTTTTGCCCACTAAGCCGGGAGTCCTTCAAAAAGTCCCGAATGTTTTCTTTAGAGAAGAAAAAACATCCGGATATAATTGTTCGACAGTCGAAGATCTGTGAGGTGAAAAGGATTCGTGTCTCGAGCTGTCATGTTTCAACATGGCCTAGGAAAAATGCATCCGGCAGCATCTTCCAGTTTAAACGCGTCAATAAACAGCTGGCACCTTGCCAGATGGGTTTTTCCCAAAAGAGTAACTGCACCGATAAGAATTGATAGGATGATAAAGCCCACTGCGTTGCGAACATACACTCACCGTTGCACGCTGCGGGGCGCCTAAGCACATTGGTATACTGCTTTAGCTCAAGAACAACCGCGTCTTCGAGTCGTAAAGCCTCCATGGCGACCAAGGGGTCTCGAAATCTGACTCGGGGTGATCCAAAAAGGAGTTGTTTAAAAACAATGTGAAATTTACCCTTGGCGCCTTCGGCAGGGGGTTCATCTATGGGGCGTTGGAAACCTAAGCCTGACTCAGGACACCTGTCCTTTGCAAGATTGTTGTTATGGAATATTATAGAGCCAGTTTATGCCCACTTCCTGCAGTGCTTTGCTCCAGAGGAGGGGTGCGGCCGGTCCCAAGTCCTAAGTCTGACCAAAAGATCCAAAAGGGGATTCCTAAGTCGCGTAAACGTCCACTGCCTTTCGTTTCCCTCTATGATTTAGATATATTTAGATCTATTTAGAATTTTTTGTTGCTGTTGGGGAAGGACATTCTTGTTTCGCTGATTATGTTTCACGACACTGTAAAGGTATTTTCCACACTGGGAACAAGTGGCCATGTTATATCACACATCGCGGAACACCAAGTTGAAAAGGTACTGTGCCATCATGTACGGTTTTTGTGTTGAGACAAGTACAGTATTAGTTGAGGCAACCATCTCTACCTCTCCTCCACCCCCTTTCAGGAGGCCGATGCCTCCAGCGCAGGGCCACCAGAGGCACGCGAGGGCCGCCCTGGGCCGGAGGAGATCCATGGCCGCTCAGAAAAAGATCGCAGGCAATGCATCATGCAAGGGACAGAAGATTGGGAAACAAAGGCACGCAAAAAAATTAAGAAAAAACACATGCGGAATGAGATGGAATGATGTGAACCAATTAATTAGCCAGGACAGAAAACGTATTGATCCTTGTTGGTTGGTTTTGCGTGTGTTTACGACAGATATTGTATTTTTATGTATTCATTTGTTTTGCTAGGTAATAGCTGGCGAAGATGAACCACGATAAAGTATTGCCCTCTTTTGCCGCACCTGTTTCACTCGTTACTACGTCGCCGTTCTCAGATGCCAACCGCTCAACTATTTGGCAGAAAAGGAACCACGACTAAGGCGAACACTGCCGGATTTGGCTGGGCCAATACCTGGAGGAGCTTCCAGTGGATCTCCTCATACAACCCATCGTTTGACCACATGCGGGCATTCCTGAACTTTTCGTTGGGCACTTTGGCCGCACAAGACGGGGGAACGAAGGGTTTGGAGGAGAGGGAAGTGTGTTGTTGCAAGGGTCATAGAATGTCAGTGTTCTGCCTCGCAAATCATAGGGGGATTCTTACCAGTTCCAAGACTTCTCACGATCGGTTGATTGAAAGTTGATTGATTGCATTCACGTTTTGAGGCGCTACTAGATAGGATTTCATCTCTTCTGTCCAACGCAAACCCAATTCTGAGCCCAGTGCTGTTTGTTTTTCCATGAGATTCAGTCCAACTGTGCTTCTCGGGCCATGCACACGGCCATGGACTCCCAGGCTATTCCAGGATCGACTTCAGCTTCTTCACGTCAACCCGACCGCCACGGCCGAACCCGACGCCAGACCAGCCAGCAGAAAAAACGAATCGCTCCGAGTTCTTGATCAAGTCATCATAATATGAAATCATATATAGTATCATATATATATATACATACACAGTATACATGTATTACTATTACATACATATATATATATATAATCGTATGTATTATTTGGTGGGTTGTTTTGTTTTGTTGCTTTAACCGAACCCTCAACTCAGAAACTGAAATTGAGTAATTTGAGTGGAACATTTCATTGAGGAGGATCCTTCACCTTCCATTTGGATGAACTTCTGGATCCAGAGGTCCAACACTGCAACAGGGCCATGAAACCATTTCCATCTATTTCCGGTATGCGCCCGGTCCCAATTGATCATCATCGTTGTCCTCATCATCATCCCAGTTGACCTCCCTTCAGTTTGTTCTTGAACGATCCCAATCGTCCTGCGCCAGGCTCGCGCCTTCCGCGGCGAGCAGTATGTCGCTGGGTGTCAGAGTACCCCGAAAGGAGGTTGTTGAATTGGACAAAAAGCAGAGGAAGGCTCTGTTCTGAATCTATTCTGAAACGCCCACAACAAGCCAATGACACAGCTCGCACTGAACATTTGCTGGGAGTATATAATGAGGACGCCTTCACCATTCTTCACCCCTTTGGTGGATTGCCACTTCACTACTTACTGGATCTATGATGCTCCGGCTGGGATTTCCCAGCAGCTTACCCCATGAACGCCTTTTTGTGCGCCAAAACGGATTTTGGCAACCCTTTTTCCGGTAGATCCCGGCGACGCCAAGGGAGGGAACTCAGCAGTGACGCAGCCGCTTTGGAGCTGACAACCCCCCGACTGAGGCCCAGGCGTTTGCTGCCCAGCTTCTTGCAGAGGCGAGCAGTGGTTTCTTTTGTTAGGTGAGAAGGATTTGACAGCTTTGGCCCCCGACTCTCAATGTATCAGAGTACCTGGTACAGCCAAAGCTTTTGGAGGAGCACACACACTCTGACATTGGTTTTCAGTTAACTCAGTTCCCAGGTGTAAGAAAGGTGGAGAACCGCAAGGTGAAAAGGTCAGCGAAAACAGTATGGTTTAACCTTGTTTCCAGATTGCACTCGATGCATTAGCCGCTTCACTGAATACCTAGCAGACCGCTTATGCATTAGCCGCTTTACTGAATACCTAGCAGACCGCCTATGCATTAGCCGCTTCACTGAATACCTAGCAGACCGCCTATGCATTAGCCGTTTTACAGAAAACCTGGCAGACCGCCTATGCACTACCCTCCCTCAAAGAATCATGGAAGCTGAGCAGACCCCCCTTGTAGAGGACAATTGGTCTTCCAGGGGCCTATGTTCCACTTCCATGATTGTTTCAGGGAGTGTAGCCGCTTTAAACAGTTTTAAACAGTTTTCCAGGTACGTTTTCACACCTGCCACTGCCGGTCTTCGTTGGCCACAGCAGCAGTGGCAGGTCTGTGGCCCCCTGCTTCTTTTGGTCCTAGTAGTAAGGTCAGAAACTACTAGTAGCACCCAGCCTTCTAGTGAAGCCGACGGTAAAAATTACCAAGTAAAACCTTAGAAACAGGTGTTGACGCACACATAGTGCCGCTATCGGCGCTCTGTGTGCAACAACTTTGTACATATAGCGCCAGTTCTGGCGCGGCGGAAAAATTACTAGCCACCTAAAAAGCCTTAGAAAGACAGACAAAGAAAACAAGACAAAAGCAGACTAAGAGGGCAAGAAAGAAAGATAGGTGTAGTTACGAGGCCCACTTAGTTAAATGAAAGTAGCTCGCGAGCGGGACCTTTGTCTTAGACCGCTCGGGTAGCTAGCAATAGATAGGAGAAACAGAAGGAAAGGCACCAACACACAAGTGTGTTGAGTGCGATTTCCTGCCTGGGGGTAGGGAGGGGTGCCGTGTCTCACCGTTCACCGTGGAAACTTGTTGAAGGGTCTCCTATTCGAGTCTCCAGTTCCAACGCAACCCCATGCCATGAGGGATAGCAGGACTGATGTGTTGGAAAATAGGACGCGGTACACGATTGAAAGTCAAAGCAGGCTGCAATAAAATGCACATGGTCATGCAAACAGAGAGGTTTATCCGTACAAGCCCGGCGGCTGGTGAAGCAGTCAATCCAGTAGTGAAACAAAGTCCGTTAAGAATCCAAGGAATGAAAGACCCGAAAAGTCTGTTACACGATTTCCAGCATGAATTCAGCGCCCCAGTGACGGGGATCACACCCAGCACCCAGGTGGGACGGCTGAGCGGGTCACGCTCTGACATTGGCTTTCAGTCAACTCAGTTCCCAGGTGTAAGAAAGGTGGAGAACCGCAAGGTGAAAAGGTCAGCGAAAACAGTATGGCTTAACCTTGTTTCCAGATTGCACTCGATGCATTAGCCGCTTTACTGAATACCTAGCAGACCGCCTATGCATTAGCCGCTTTACTGAATAGCTAGCAGACCGCCTATGCATTAGCCGTTTTACAGAAAACCTGGCAGACCGCCTATGCACTAGCCGCTTTAAACAGTTTTAAACAGTTTTGCAGGTACGTTTTCACACCTGCCACTGCCGGTCTTCGTTGGCCACAGCAGCAGTGGCAGGTCTGTGGCCCCCTGCTTCTTTTGGTCCTAGTAGTAAGGTCAGAAACTACTAGTAGCACCCAGCCTTCTAGTGAAACCGACGGTAAAAATTACCAAGTAAAACCTTAGAAGCAGGTGTTGACACACACACACACACACTTTGTTTCGAGTTGTTTTGAACAGCAAAGCTGAAGAGCCCCAATTGGACCTAAGAATCACACTGGCGTGGCCATTGAGTTGTCACTTGGCGGATCATCCCCCTGCTTTGGGACACATCACCGGACTTTGACAAGTCAAGATACTCAGAACTCTTGATATGGATCCCAGAGAGACTTTTTGGTACCCATTTGGTAGACCACCCCTTAAGTTTGAAGAGTTATGGGCAAGAACACCCATACTTCACGCAGACAAAAATTTACGCTTGTTAGCCTTCTTACAAAACACTCTGAGGTCAGGATCGAATTAACAAGTCTGGTTTTCGTGGCAGGTGTGGGACGGTCAATTATCACACCGTTTTAAGTTTATAATAAAAGGCTTTCCGGGGTGACAAATGACCGCCCACACCTTCCGTTTCAACGTCAAGAAGCGCAACTTTCATCTGGCTAGTGTATGTGACTATGTCAGAAGCGATTTCTTGCCGAGGTTGTTTTGGGTGCCGGTGCTATGCTAAGGCTTGACAATCCTTGATAAACCCACCGTAACGTAGAGTAACTATACCAATATGTAAATTAGTGATAGTTACTGCATTATGTAACGCTACTAGCTACATAATGCTACATATATATAGATATATGTACCAATGGCAACAGGTTGTTGACTGGAAACGCAGATCGATCACATTTGTGCAGAAGAATTACCGGCACCACACGTCACAGGCCGTCCCTGCCATTTGAACCAAGTGAGGCCGCTGCATTCCTACTACGGTCCACACCGAACGAAAGACGGTGAGGGCTTTTCGGGGCATCGAAGGAAAGATGATTAAAGGCCAACAGGTCTCGGAATCTAAGTTTGATATGGAGCGGATCGAGTTATGTTTAAGATGTGTAAGTAAAAGTGACTAGAACTGACCGAACTGACTGTGTTCGGGGCAATTCCACGTTCTTTTGTTTCTTTTCATTGCAGCTGGTCACCTTGATGACCCCTTTCTCAAATTTGCAGGAGTTTGCTGTATTTGTTGTAAGTTACAGTATAATTATGGAGGTGTGTGTGTGTGGCAATAGACAGCTCGTTGGTGGAAAGGACTTCAGAATGCCTTCAGCAGCATTCTGCGATGCCCTCAGCAGTACTTTTATCTTACTCTATCCCCTTACCGGTGGCAGATATGGCAGTGCAGATTCAAGGCACAGGTATGCTATGCGGGGGATGTTTTTCTGGGGGAATCCCGCTCGGTTTTGCTTGGTGATGGACCGAGCATGCTCAGTTGAGTAGGATGAGCGAGGATCGCTTCTCAAGATTTGCTGTCAAGACTTCTCTCGAAGATTCCAATCTTTCGAAGTATGACTGGATGTGGTGTGGCACTGTTGAGTTCGAACACCAGTTCCGTTTGCAACTTCATCATTTCATCACTTGAACCTGCAGGCGTTACTTCGCTGGGTGTGGCGGCGTCACGTTTTTTTTGTGGTTCGGTGGTGTCACGTGTGATGCCAGATGTGAATATGTATGATGACAATTAGTACAAGAATAAGACCAGTACTATAAGAAGCAGCTTGTCATAATACTATATGACAGAACCAGTACTATATGACCTGACCAGTACTATATGTATGTATGAATTAATGACCAGTACTGAGTCTCGCAGCTTGGCAGTCTTGAGTCTCGCTTATCACATGTTGGAGCGATCGGAGGAGGGGTCATTCTTCCAGCACTGAGATGCGGACACCCCAACGGTACAGTTTTGGGAAAACTATGACATGCTATAATGACATGCTATAACATGTTTTACATACCATGGACGTTCCTTTAAGATCTTTTAAGGTCTTTTGTTTACTTCATGGCTTCACGGCCTTCATTGGTCAACTTTAACTTGAAAGTTCTATGAAGCTCTCCAAC